GTTTATTTCCATCATTAGTAACAGTTTCCCCTGTGGGACAAATAAAGTTAATATTAGTCGTATATTAATAATACTTCATTAACTTTGTTATTTACTATCCCTGTTGTAGTATTATTCATAAGTAAAAACCAACATTTTTTTTTTCACCATGTTTCCAAATTCTCTACTCGAGGTCCAAAAGAAATGTAAAGAATGTACAAACTGAAAACATTAAATACTTTTGTGATCTATTTCCATTTGTTATTTTCAAAAGAGAAATACTGTCATGGATGTTTACAGAGCAGAGGTCACCTTTTTTAATTCCAACGGGAGAGATGGACTGTTGTTTGTCTTTTGTTTATTATTATTTTGTGCTGTATTGTTGGTTTCTGTGTTATTTCGGTTTCAAAAGCCAGCAATAAATAACACTTTAATATCTAAAGAGTGTTCATGTGATATTATGTTGGGAAATGAATAAATGCATAATAATCGTAAAACCGTGATTATTCCTCAGACAATAATCGTACCAACAAAATCTATAATCGTTGCATCCCTAGTTCCATTCTTGTTAAAATGCCTTAAAAGACTGCAGTCTATGTATACGGCAATATAACTCACAAGGAACTATGTTACCATTTCTATGCGGTGTTTGTCAAATTATTTGACTCATACATACCTCGATCCTTCTGTATGATTTTATACTACGGTTCCATTAAAACATTAGTATTGAGTTTTGCAAGTGAAGTTTATAGTTTCCAATGTATTTCATAGTGAAACTAACCAGTTAGAATGTAAACAAAATTTAATTTTAGATTTTAAAAGTTTAAAATGAATTAATTCTAGATAACAGATTGTGATAACAGATTGTGGTCTTGATTCCAGGTCTCATCTGGATGCATCTGGAGATCTGCGCTTCTCTCTGGGTTCTCTTGCTGAGACGCAATCTGACCATTATCGCTCCACCAAGGTGATCCGCAGGCCCAGGAGAGGACGCATGGGGCTACGTAGGGACGAACAGAAGGTAGGGTCTCATCACCTATTGTTTCTTGAGCTTTGTGCTAAACATCACTCCTTGTGTTTCTCTTTCATCTTCTTGCAGGCTAAGTCTCTGGGAGAGCACGAATGGCGCTCTCAGCAACTTGGCGTTCTGGGCGGACACCCGTTCGAGAGCGACACGGAGATGTCGGATATCGATGACGACGACAGAGAGACCCTTTTCAGTTCGATGGATTTACTGTCTCCTGGAGGACATTCAGATGCTCAGACTCTGGCAATGATGCTGCAAGAACAACTAGATGCCATCAATAAAGAGATCCGGTCAGTTTACTGATTGTGGCCACTGCACCTTTTTGTAGACTAGGCTTAAATCGTGTTGCCTTAATGGTCTACCCAGAGATGGGCTACATTCAGATTGCTTTAATGTCTATAATGTAATCCATCTGTAAAGCAATGAAAGGACATTATATTTCTTAGAAATATCACCTCAAAGGTGATGATAAAACAGCAGTGGGCTTAAGATCGACCCTTGGTGCATACTTTCTTTAGCATTATTAGATTTGACAGCTGTTCATTTACACCAACAAAGGTAGGATCTAAACCAGGCTAGCACCTGTCCAAAAACAGCAACACAATTTTCAAGATTGTCCAAAAGAAAGTTAATGATATTTCAAATGCAGGCCTAGCAGAGAAATAAAACCCTAGTTGGATAACAAAAGGAAGACATTTGTTACTCTGATAAGTGTAGTAATGGGGCCTGAAACCTGACTTAAGGGAAATCTGAGATAGGGTGATTTTTTTATTATTTAATGAGTATCTATGTTTGTTTTTCCTCTTGTTGTTCATTTAGCATTAGATTAAGAATAACTCTTACAGCTTTTCTTTTAAACATCATTTAAATGTGTTTAAAAAAATCCACAGTCATAAAGCAAAACGCAGTGATCTTATTAGTCAGGTTAAGGCTGGACTACACTGTACAACTTTTGCACAGATTTTTCTACAGATTTGCAGTCTAGTGGAGTCGACGCTCATTGCCAAAAGTTGGAGCCATTCTGCAGATTTTGACAGATTTCACATGTGATTTTTTAGCTTCGGAATATGAATCAGTACATTTGGAGGACATCAGACACATTTGATATTTTGAGCCAATTTTAAAACAAATATTGTTTTCATTTGGCATGTGTCTCCTAGTAACGAGACAAGTTTTTGCATTTAACTGTGTGTGTGATCCTTAGTTTTGTGGTGTTTGATGCCCCGTTTTTTTCTGTAACCATTTACAAAGTCAGCAAGTGTGGACATTGTTTTAAAATATGTTTCTGATTTAAAAAGTCCTGTAGTGTATTCCAGTCTTAAGTCTTTTTATTATAATTTTTTTTAATGTTATTACTGTTTTTTCTCCATTTTAACTGCCACTTACAGTTCGGTTGTTTCTGTCTTGTCATACTCACTCATTCTTCTGTAAATTTCTACATCTGATCTTTGCCAAATGTTTATTTGCCATATTTTTATCCAGAGGGACATGTAGTACACTGATTCCTGGGACAGGTACAAGTTCCTTGACTATTATCCTGGTATCTGTGTTTAAAACGTACAGTACGAGGAATTGAACTTGTCACCTTTGCATCTTAGAAGTGTAGATTTATCATTCAAGTTTCCCTTCATAGCCTACATATAACCTTCTACTCTCTAGCTAATCCCTTCACTCATATTTTGATGATTTAAGTGTCACATTTATTAGAATTTCTACATCTCTACAGAGACTCGTATATGCTGATTTAAATTTCAGCCAGAGCTCAAGGTTTCTCCTGTAGGCTGTTCACGCAGTGCATAGGCTGATTTGACACTTGAGAGCATGAGGCATGACTCCAGTATTATTGAACAAGAGCGGTTGACTGAAAGGCTTCCTGGAAATGGAAACCTTTCACTCCATGTGGACATTTCTGCTGTTCCTGATTTCCATAATTTCTGGGATTGGCATATGTATACTGTATATATCTCCTTAATATCACAACACTATCACCTGTCAGGCTGGACATGTGTCCTGCATGTTGATGTCCTTTTACAAATTGGTCATCTTAAGGCCAAACTGGATTTGAACCAGCAGCCCTTGCACTTACAGCTAAAGGCAGGAATACACTACGCAAGTTTTAAAATCTGAATGCGAGACATCATACATTTATACTTTGTAAACAGTCATAAAATTCGTAAACTTCTCCAGACTCTAAATCGGGGGAAAATCAGGGCAAAAGTCGTGTAGTGCATTCCAGCCTTAAGGCTGTCAAAAGCAAATGTATGACTTCAAATCAAGTACTAAATAATAAACCATCCCGACCCTTTGGATTTGATTGAGATTTAATTTGAAATTTGTCCAATTCAGTGGAAATGTGTGATTAATATTTGAAGAGGCCAGAACAGACGGAGTTCTTTTTTTTTTATGGAACTTTTAGTTGGATTTTAGTTGGAGTTGTTTCAAAGGTCATTTTAAATTCACTAAGAGCCACTCACTGCAGACAAGTTTGAATTTTTTAGATAGTTCTCTGTCCTGTTATTTCCCACATTAATGGAACTTTTAGTTGGATTTTAGTTGGAGTTGTTTCAAAGGTCATTTTAAATTCACTAAGAGCCACTCACTGCAGACAAATTTTTTAGATAGTTCTCTGTCCTGTTATTTCCCACATTTATTTTTGGTCAGGAGCTCCCTTTATGTAAATTTCAGATCATTTTCATCAAAAATGTGCAACCTCATATGCAACGTACAGTATGTGTGCTCAACTTTATTTGATTACCTGTGTACAAATACCGCTTACTATGCTATTTAACTGTGCCTCTAATGTCTGCTGGGTTTTTTGATTACAACAGGAAGAAAGATGTTTCCCCTGTGTGTGGTTTATTCCCCCCAGCCCCCCCCCCAGCCGTGGTCCACATTTTGTTAAAGCACCAGCTTTGGTCTTTGTGCTTTTGGGCTGGAAGACTTTTGGGCTGTTGAATGTCTTACAACAAACTGTAAACATGTTAAATGCTTGACAAATGGTCAGTGTGTAATTGTTTGCAGCCTGTTCGATGGTGGCTTTACAAGATATTCAATAATCCAAGACCATGAAAAACATCCACTACAAGAGCTATCGAATGTTTCAGCAGTAAACTGCAGTTTGCGATTCTTGAGGATTGTCGGTCGTGTCTTCAAGCGTTCTCTGAACCAACCGCATCAGTCTTTGGCCAGTAAAGCACAAGATTTCATTATTTCTCTGTTTCTCTGAGCTTATTATTGCATTTCTTTTGTCATTTTTCTATGTTTAAGGTGAATTGCAGAGACAAAATTAAATAATCAGTTTGTAGGTTGGTTTCCCTGAAGAGTGTGAATGCTGTGACTTTGCTCTGTTTGGACAATTGGAGCATTCAACAGTTTTGTTTGGTTTTTGCTTTGATTTATCACAAGTTAGTGTGTTTTTTTCTGTTGCTAAGTAGATACGAGCACACAGAAAGTTCTGGTACTTGAGAAGATACCATAGCATCAATAGACTACTTTTATGCTTTCTTTTGATACATTGATATATAGATTTACACAAATATATATACAAAAAATGTTAGGGTTTTGTTTGAAATGTCTTTTTTAGAAATGACCTTTTTCAGATGTCAGGTATTACAATTTAAAGAAAGGTTTAAATTAAACTTAGATTTAAATTAAACTAAAGCCAATTTTCTACCTTTTTTTATATAGTAGCTTTAAAGCAAGGCTGTCCAAAACTGTGCCTGAAGCCATAACCCCATGTCACAAAGGCAGTATGTAGATTCTCTGAGCCCCGAGAACATCAGTCTCCACAGACTTAATGCATTTCCTATTGGAAATTTTCCTCTCATAACTCAATAATCGAGTCATCGGGACCATGCCATTTTATCTCTTTGGATACATGCACCTGGTGGAAACTGGCATCTTAAAACCCACAGCGCAGCATATTACAGCTGAAAAAAAAAAACAGTTTAACAATATTGTTTCACAAACTTGACACCTGCACTTAGGTGCAGAAAAAGAGACAGATTTACAGAAACTGTGGTATCAGATCTTCAAAAACAATCTCTGAATCTGCAAACCAGTCTAAACAGTGTAATTGTGCATTTAGTAAAAAAATATTTGCGTCAAGACAGCATCCAGAATTTCTGATGAACAACAGTGTGTCTGCTTTTTATGTTCATTTTAGTGTTGTGCTTTTCATTTTGTACCATCCATTGTAGTAAGGGCTAATTAGTTGTTTCAGCTGCATTGTTTTTAGTCCTGTTGCCAAAATTATTCACACATTTTCACCCAGCAAGCACTCCAGTAATGTTGTAAATCATAATGCTATTAGCTCATTATCATACACTGTAATTTCTGACTCTTTTCCTCTTTTTCTCCAGGCTGATCCAGGAAGAGAAGGAGTCAACAGAACTGAGGGCAGAGGAAATCGAGAACCGCGTGGCCAGCGTGAGCTTGGAGGGGCTGAACCTGGCGCGGATGCACCATCCCGGAGCCTCCATCACTGCCTCGGCCACCGCATCCTCCCTCGCCTCCTCCTCCCCTCCCAGCGGACACTCCACCCCCAAACTCACCCCGCGCAGCCCTGCCCGCGACATGGAGCGCATGGGGGTCATGACACTGGTATACGAGCCCATCCGCATCTCTGTCCATATTTTCATATCAAGATTTTCTTTGATCTTTTTATATATTAACAGTGCTGACTATAGATGGAGGAAAATGGTCATTGGAAATGAAATATGATTTTATTTTATTTTTTATGTAAACAGTATGCAAATGACCCTTTAAGAATATTTGTTTAATTCATGGTACGTAACTTTAACATTTTGGGGCTGTACAAAAGCCTTTTTTCATGCAAAGTTTAGTGCTGGTTAAGTCACAAATGACACAGTATGATGTCCCTCAATCAATTGCTGTATTACAGCTTTCCTGGTCATTTCTCTGCAGTTTCTGCATCACATTGCGTTGCTTTGAATGCCTCATGACTATCCAGTATCCATTAAGCTGTTAACATATTTTGTTTTTTGTTCTGCAGCCCAGTGACTTGCGGAAACACAGGAGAAAGGTACTTAACATGTGGTCTCTTCACAAAAGAGCTGGCTGTATTTGGCATGATTCTTTTTGTTATGGGCAGCATAGAGGACACCGGGGTTGGGGACAAATCTGAAAAAAAAAAAGAATCCATCTCCAGTTCATGAGTTGGAACTGAACTGAATTGAATTGGCTACAGTCCAAAAGGGTGAATGAAATTAATAAAATATAACAAAATTCAATGAGGTTTATGCTTTAAAAAATAAGTTTTTCTTGTCCCACTGGCAGATTTACCTAATTCTTTGAAAACAAGTCTTAGTATTACCATTTTGCTCCTTAAAGGGATAGTTCACCCAAGAATGAAAATGTGATGTTTATCTGCGAATTGGCTACAGTCCAAAAGGGTGAATGAAATTAATAAAATATAACAAAATTCAATGAGGTTTATGCTTTAAAAAATAAGTTTTTCTTGTCCCACTGGCAGATTTACCTAATTCTTTGAAAACAAGTCTTAGTATTACCATTTTGCTCCTTAAAGGTAGTTCACCCAAGAATGAAAATGTGATGTTTATCTGCTTACCTCCAGGGCATCCAAGATGTAGGTGACTTTGTTTCTTCAGTAGAACACATATGATGATTTTTAACTCCAACCGTTGCAGTCTATCAGTCGTATAATGCATGGCAATGGTAACAAAATCTATGAGAGTAAAAAAAACATGCACAGACAAATCCAAATTAAACCCTGCGGCTTGTGACGACACATTGATGTCCTAAGACACGAAACGATCGGTTTGTGCCAGAAACCGAACCGTATTTATATAATTTTTTACCTCTAATACACCACTATGTCCAACTGTCTTTGGCACGCGCACGGCTTCCTGTGCGTGAGGTGTGTACGCGCTCTGACGTAGTATAACATTTATATTGTTTTAAACATGTTTAGATATTTGTACGGGTTAAAAAACAACAATGCTGAGGATTATTTGTTATTACGATAAATAAGTATTGGTAAAGGATTTTACATATAATAACACATTTTTAATAATTAAAAAAAAATGAGTATATGGGTGACATTTGTTACTTTTGATTATTATTAGCATCAGTTTTTATTAGCTGAGGTTTCTGGAATACCCCATTTGTTATATGAAAAATATCTTTTGGGTTAAAAAACAACAATGCTGAGGATTATTTGTTATTACGATAAATAAGTATTGGTAAAGGATTTTACATATAATAACACATTTTTAATAAAAAAAAAAAAAATGAGTATATGGGTGACATTTGTTACTTTTGATTATTATTAGCATCAGTTTTTATTAGCTGAGGTTTCTGGAATACCCCATTTGTTATATGAAAAATATCTTTATTGGTAATTCAGAATAAGAAAATTCATGTATTATTAAGAAATATCCTGTTTTCCACCCCAAAATTCACCCTCAAGATATTTAGAAGAACGCTAGGAAACCAAAAATACTGAAGTCCATTGACGTCCACTGTATGTGCAAAAAAACAGAGACATGTCTCAAGATATCTTCTTTTATGTTTGACAGAAAAAAGGTGTTACATTTTCGGATCGACATGAGGGTAATTAAATGAGAGTATCTTCATTTTTGGGTGAACTGTCCCTTTAATTCAGATTCCCTCTGTCACAGATCGCAGCGGTGGACGAGGACGGTCGAGAGGATAAGGCCACCATCAAATGCGAGACCTCGCCACCTCCCACACCTCGCCAAGTCCGCATGACCCACACGCTGCCTGCTTCTTCGCACAATGACGCACGGTGAGATGGCAAAAAGACAGCAGCCAGACACATCCTGCATGCAAACATGACCCAACTTTCCCGCTGTTAATCTGTTTGTCTGTCTCCAGCCTGACGGCTGCATTAGAGACGGAGGCCAGTGCTCTGAGCAGTGTAGCCAGCAGTCAAGACTCCCTCCATAAACAGCCAAAGAAGAAGGGCATCAAATCCTCCATCGGACGTCTGTTTGGGAAGAAAGAGAAGGCCAGACTGGGGCAGCTGGGGAAAGATATTATGGGACCAGGACAAGGTGAGACATAGAGACATATGAGCTATTAAGAGTTAGGTTTTGTATACATGTATATCAGAATGCGCAGTCCTTTTCAATATTGATTTAATCTGATTAAAACACTGACCTGGAGTCGAATGTAAATATAATTACTAACTTTATCAAATGATTGGTTAATGGATCTTCTCCATCAGTAGGGAATGTATCCGATCCTGAGCTTCTAGGTCAGGATATTGCGATGGGAAAGCTGGGAACACAGGCGGAGAAAGATCGCAGGCTTAAAAAGAAGTAAGTATTTTATAAACCGCTCTCTGACAAATTCAAATTATACATCCAACACAACCTTTTATGAAGGTAATTAATTCCTGGGCCCAAATCTTGAAAAAACTAAATATTACTAGCATAACACAACTGACACAACATAACAAACAACACAAATACTGTGATGTTATGTTTCACACACCTCTCTTTAAAAAATAATATTTGAACATATGGCCCATCTGGATGCATTGATTATTAAGATTATTAAGTAGCCAAAAAACATACGCTACGCAAGTAAGAAAGAGCTTCGCGTAGTCCTGTTGTACAGATTTAGAGTGAGTTTTTGCGTCACTTTTAAAATACCAAGCCTCAGTACTCAAGATAGATAGTTATACAATAGATTTATTTATTTAAGTTATTTTAAGTAGCTAGCTTTAATGAACTTGTGAAGATTGTTTGGTCATGACAGTAGATGACCTGAAAGAACAAACAACCAACCACAAAAGTATTTTCAAACTAAACTTGCTATATTTGAAGTTTGTGGCAATCCATAGCATTATTAGCATTTCCATCATCAATATGTATAGGGTCATTCCGTGTCAACTCAACCAGAGGTCCCCGGCTCAAAATTTTGCTTTTGCTAATATTTTTTCTGAAGAAAGACAGACATGTATAGTGATGAAAGCCAAAATATTAAATGTCATGGATGAATATTTACTGAGCAATCCACTATTTTGTAGAGGGGGGGTCAAAATGGCCATTTTCACCTGAGATTCAGAGCCAAATTACAGGGGGTTAAAAATGACTTCAGAAAGATGGCAGCATCATAATGTTATTTTTACAAAGAGATTGGTAGGTCTACTAGTAAATTATGTTGACTTTAGCAATCTTTGTTGCATTATGTGCCAATGGCAACCATTCAAAAATGGGGAAACGGCACTTTTCAAGTTTTTTCTCCAAAGTTTGCATGCCTGTATCTCAAGAAGTATTAAAGGTATCTTAATGCCGTTTTAGATATTGGGTCTTAACAAACTATCCTTTTGGTATCTTCATTTTTAAGGCCCTATATTGTCCGGTTCCAGAGATATTGGAATTTCAATATGGCTCCAGGAGTAAATTGTTAAAATGTACACATTTTCAGTGGTCAAAAACCAAATGTGGGTCATTTTGCAAAAATATAATGATACTTTTCTTTTAAAGAGGAAAGTCTGAAGTACAAATAATGTTGAAACTAGAGATGTATCTTGTTTACTTCTGTCAAAATAACTGCATTGAACATACCTGTCTGAGTGCCATAAATATTATTTTTCCAAAGTTTGCGTGCCTATAACTCAAGAAGTATTAAAGATATTGCAATATGATTTTAGATTCTATTTCTTAATAAACTTTTATTTTGGAATCTTCATTTTCAAAGCCCTACATTGTTCAGTCCCAGAGATATGAGGACCTCAAAGAGGTTACATTTTCTGATTGTTGAATATTACCTATATTTAGTGGTTGAAAACCAAATGTTGGTCACAATTGACATTTAATATTTTGGCTTTCTTCACTATACATGTCTGTCTTTCTTCAGAAAAAATATTAGCAAAATCAAAAATTTGAGCCGGGGAATTTTTTTTAATTTGGTTGATTTGACACGGAATGACCCTATAAACATTTCAACATGCTAAATCTTTTTCCCGCAAAAATAGATCCTTGGATGGAAACCGGGTTAAAGCTTGCACAGCTAATTGGCGTTCACATTTACGTGTTTGTGTAGATTATGTTTCGGGCCTTATGTTAGCTCATCTGAAAAAGAAAGCATTTTCAATGTCAATACAGTTTATACTCTATTTGTTTAACTATACAAGACCCATTTACATACCTGTTTGCGATAATAATAGAGCCTGTTATCTATATGCCACACGGTGTACTACTTATAATACAATCAATGTACGATTGCCATTTGTAGAATGTATAACCACGAGAGAATGTGCCTTTCATAGCAGGCTTGTGACTTTGTTGCATACTTGGTTGTGTTTACAGCATGTCATGCGATGCTTGCCGAATATCACATTTCTTTGCCTTAACGCTAATGTTTGAATGTGACCGTTTTATGTAATTTGATTCGTGTTGGTCTCATCCATGGCGGCGCCACACAAAGGCGGCTCTTCACTGTTTCCATTGCATTGTCATACTTTCTGCATGCTGTATGATAAAAAATAACTTTTAAAGACAAGTAGATCTGTTCAATTGTGACCAACAAGTCAATATCTAAGTGCAAAAATACAACAATTCCCAACAGTAATGCACGTCTCTGAGCCGAGGTGTTTTTTCTAAAGTCTACATACAGTATGCTCAATAACAAGCATTTAATTTTGTCTCCCATCGCTTTCTCTATTTTTCTTTTCTCTCTCTATCTCTTTTTCTCCTCATCTGACTCTGTATCAGCGGGTAAGTTTAGTTTGTGTTGCCGAGACTTGCTGCATTTTCCACTGTCGATGCTCTGTCCGTGTCTGTCGTCATGCTCCTAAAGTGTGTGTCTATCTTCAGGGGGGTCCGACGCATTTCCTTTCTGTCCATCCAGAGACCCCCACCTCTGCCTTTCTTTTTCATTTGACTGTAAATGTGATTCTCCCCCTCTGCAGTTCTATAGAGGATGCATCTCTGCCTGGAGAGAGAATGTGTGCCTTTATAACAACCTGTTCTCGATCTGCCATGCCGAGGCCTTTCTCCTCTCGTGTACGTGTGCGTGCGCGTGTCCGTGCGTGCGTGTGTGCATCATGTGCCGTATTCAATAACCAGGTCTCGTCTCTGGTTATGGACTGTGAACTCATTGACTTCTTCCCTGCTCTTTTTTTCTTTTCATTTTGTTTTCTCTCATAACTGTTTCTCTCCCTCCCCAGCTACAGTATGTTCAGAAGAAGTCACTCATACGCATTACATTCGACCTGAACATATGCAGTTCAACACGTAAAGATGAGGAGAGATACATCATAACCACCATCACCACAAAGGCCTTATTGCCTTTACAGCACACAGACATGAAAGTTCACGGCGACAGGACAGTTCCCCTTTGACACGGTGGCGGTGCTCAATCCGGTTTTTCCATCAAAGAAAATTAAACCTGCCGGTTTAAACCGGGAACTAGTCTCGCGTAGACAGACTTTAAAGTCGGCAAGAAATAATATTTAACCCAATTTATTTTCTAAATGCATGTTACTGTTCTTATTGTGACTGATTCATCTGTGCATATGTTAAATTATGCCATTTACCTAAGTATGTAAAAAAAAAAAATCCCTTTCTTACAATTGACTGCTAGTTCTCATTCAGATCCAGTGGACTGAAACAACTCAGTTTCACTTGGATGCATGTGACAATGTGGAAAAAAAGATCCGTCGTTACTTCTGACTTTAACCGTCAGCATAAAGTGTGGTCCATTTTATTAGCTTTTATTTACAGCTTATTCAGGCAAGAGTCGCCCTGACAAACCACATTTTCTTTCAGATACTAAAATAGAACATCATGGGAAAAGTGCTTGTTAACTTTCAATGTTTTTTTTTTTTGTTGTTGTTCCGAAAATAACTTTTTACAATGTCACATTTTGCTTTGGCATGCCAATATTTCAAAAAGGATCTAAACGTGTTAGTAAAAGTGCCTTTCATGCACCTTTATGTTCCAGGATTTATCTCATACCAGCATTGACGAAATGGATGACGAACAGCTCCACGGGTTTATCGTAACCACCAGCTTCAGTTGTTCAACTAAGCTACATGAAAACATTTTTTTTTTAAATGGAATGCTAACATATGTTTCCAAAACTAGGAATAAGATGGCTTATTCGAATTTACGGCTTACACGTTACATAGTAAAAAAAAAAGTAATTTCCGTCGACTCTCGAATAAAAACAATCCACCTTCCGCATAGAACCGGATCTGGCACCATCATCGGCACCACTTTGGTGCAAAAGAGATATCAGTGGTCACGTAAGCGGTTTTGAGATTTGATTTGTGCAGACAGAACCATATCATTCACTACAGCACGTGTCAGTACTGTACTCGACTCTTCAAGTGGCCTTACCGTACACCCCAAACATGTGGTTGAATTACGAAGCTGCTCTCTGAGGGAGGAACACCCTCAGAGCAACATGGAACTCTCTGCCTTAAAGTCCACCGCAATTTCCACACACCATAAAATACTCACCTGTGCTTGTTCTATAGCAAGGTGCCCTCAGAATTACATCAGTTCAACGGTAAAGCCTTGCCTCAAAATATCTCTGAATTACACTGGCTTGAATTTGTCAGAACCTTGGAAACAAGTGCTCTCTGACATTCAGACGTTAGCTGGAGAGATATATTGAATCATTTCTAAAGACACACTCTGTTACAAGCCCTTCAGTCCCTGTAAAGTTGGTAAACGACAAGAGGCAACCTTGAGGAAAGCTAGACACATTTCCCAGCGGAGATCTGCATAGAAAGCGTCCGCGTGAATGTCTGATGAGGGTTTATGATAGCAGCCTTGTCTTAAAGTGCAAATATTTATCAAGACAAACACGGACTAAGGTTCAAAAGAAAAGGCATTTCTGTTATCCCTCGATAAGTCACAGTTTTCCAATTTTCTAAAGCTCTCGGTTTTATAGACGAGGATCAGGACGCAGCAAGGAAATGTCACGATATGTTTATCTGAAAAACTGGAACTTTCAATTCGCTGGCGTCTCAGCGTGACCGACACCATTAGTTTCTTTCCTTCATTTCATCCTAAATGGAATGCTAACATATGTTTCCAAAACTAGGAATAAGATGGCTTATTCGAATTTACGGCTTACACGTTACATAGTAAAAAAAAAGTAATTTCCGTCGACTCGAATAAAAACAATCCACCTTCCGCATAGAACCGGATCTGGCACCATCATCGGCACCACTTTGGTGCAAAAGAGATATCAGTGGTCACGTAAGCGGTTTTGAGATTTGATTTGGGCAGACAGAACCATATCATTCACTACAGCACGTGTCAGTACTGTACTCGACTCTTCAAGTGGCCTTACCGTACACCCCAAACATGTGGTTGGATTACGAAGCTGCTCTCTGAGGGAGGAACACCCTCAGAGCAACATGGAACTCTCTGCCTTAAAGTCCACCGCAATTTCCACACACCATAAAATACTCACCTGTGCTTGTTCTATAGCAAGGTGCCCTCAGAATTACATCAGTTCAACGGTAAAGCCTTGCCTCTAAATATCTCTGAATTACACTGGCTTGAATTTGTCAGAACCTTGGAAACAAGTGCTCTCTGACATTCAGACGTTAGCTGGAGAGATATATTGAATCATTTCTAAAGACACACTCTATGTTACAAGCCCTTCAGTCCCTGTAAAGTTGGTAAACGACAAGAGGCAACCTTGAGGAAAGCTAGACACATTTCCCAGCGGAGATCTGCATAGAAAGCGTCCGCGTGAATGTCTGATGAGGGTTTATGATAGCAGCCTTGTCTTAAAGTGCAAATATTTATCAAGACAAACACGGACTAAGGTTCAAAAGAAAAGGCATTTCTGTTATCCCTCGATAAGTCACAGTTTTCCAATTTTCTAAATGGTACGTCGCAGCTTGCCGTGCCAACGTAAAAAGTGGCGCTATAATGTCAGCCCTGTCAGACACCGAGATCCAGAGAGAGATCGGCATCAGCAATCCTCTGCACCGCCTCAAACTGCGCTTGGCCATCCAGGAGATGGTCTCGCTCACCAGCCCTTCGGCTCCCCCTACGTCTAGAACCGTGAGTGCACACACACACACACACACACACCCGACCAGCAATGCATTTTTCCTCAGATATGTATCTCGTATATGCTCTGCTGCTCAATATATACATCATTAAATTAAGATAAAGTTTGGTTCTGCACCAGAAACACAAACAATCTATAATTCCTACAAGAATACATCTTAAAATATAAATAGAGGTACAATTAGCATCAAGCTACATTTGAAAATGTATGTGATTTGTTTTTTGCTTAAAACCCACTTTAACCCATCATCGAGTGGTTGTAATAACTTCCAGTTGAGTTCTAAAGTGGATTTTTATTTTATAATAGGCACACATGCACTATTTGTATGTTTTATAATGGATTGAAAGCGACCCCAGCTTATCATTTGTCATAAACATCCCTTACAGTTATAAAAAATATCATGAGCTGCATAAAACACATACAGAAAATATAACGTCATAATCTTATGTCTATTTACTTCCATATTACATATATAAAAAAAATAGAAAAATGTTTCTATACATGTAATGTATAGAATCATTATCCCATGATTGGCAGATCTTGAGCGAATGCACTCTGACTCATAACAATGACTATACAGAAATTATATTCTTTATAAAGTGGTGAGAATAAATCTGTTCTCAGATACCAATGATAACAACAACTCGGCATCCTCTTCTCTCTCAGAATACTCTTCTTCTGTGTTTGTTTACGGTGGTTTTCGAAACAGTGCCACCACTCTCACCCTTTTGTGCAACAGCAGCTGCTCCGGGCACGTGATCTTGGCTCAAATCTAATTGAGCGGCCCGTTTCGTCGCGGAGTGACGGTAAAATATCGCCACACAGAATGAAAAAAAAATCCTTGCTTTTTCGTTCAGCGAATGATCGCCCTATAAGAATGTATTGTTTCGATTCAAAAGCGTCATTGTGCCAAACATTTGTGTCAAATTTTTGCATTCAGTGTGAAAAGGACTTTACAGTTACTTGGAGGTACCAATGCTGAATTAATGAATTCTTTTCTACAGGCTAGACAAATTCTGGAAAGAGAGTACAACAATCTGCTGGCGCTGGGAACGGAGAGACGATTAGATGAGGTGAATCACTAGTTTCTGATATTTTGTATAGAATTGAACAGTCGACAGTGGTTCCATTCCAAATGTTTACATACTGTAGCCAGTGTCATGAAGGAAACATCACTTTAAAAAATGAGTGATCATGAACAAATATTTTTGTTAATAGCTCCCATACAAATTTCCGCGACCCATGGCGCCAACAGTTTAGTAAAGGGACCAATTCTCACTATTAAAGGAATAGTTCACCCAAAAATGAAAATGTGATGTTTATCTGCTTACCCCCAGGGCATCCAATATGTAGGTGACTTTGTTTCTTCAGTAGAACACAAACGAAGATTTTTTAACTCAAACCGTTGCAGTCATATAATGGAGGTGAATGGGAATCATGGCTTTGAGAGTAAAAAAAACATACACAAACACAACCAAATTAAACCCTGCGGCTCGTGGCAATGCATTGATGTGTAAATACACAAAACGATCGGTCTGTGCAAGAAACTGAACAGTATTTATATCGTTTTTTTACCTCTGATTTATTGCAATGTCCGAACTGTCCTAAGCGCATCTTGAGCG